TACCCAGAGTTCCATGCGGCAAGCCAGCATAGTATCTCTGCCACAGGCCAGAAAAATGTGACGATTCGTCACATCTTGCACCGCCCATTCAATATAATTTACATATTTCACAACTCTTTTATTTTTGACGAGTCTACACAACTAATTAAACATCTTTGATAGAATGGTTTAGTTTCATTGAGAAAATATCCTTAAACATGTAACACTATTTCGATTTGCGTAGCGATCCTTTGTTTACATAGGTTGTACGGCTCCACGTGCTGTCATCGAAGCTGATGGAGAGCAAACGATGCAGCCAGTTTGATATCTAAATATGTATTGTCATAGACTTTACTGTCGCAGTTGTGGAAGAATATATATGTAACAATGTAAAACATTATGAAGAGAGCGCCGAAAAGCTTTCGTGAGTCCAGTCTCTTCTTATTATGAATATGCGCGTTTGATTACAAACAAGAGAAAAGTCCGGTCACGTGATATGCAAATTAGCCTGTGGCAGTGATGTTATGTTAAGTCATCGCTGTGCCGGAGTGTGGTGTGATTGGTGCTTGAATGACATCATATGCTGTTTTCAGGTCCACCATTCTGACAGGACTTATGTCGAACTTTTTCAGCATGCGCTGGTATTACGGAACCTTATTTCTTCGTGCTCTTTCAAAGAGGATCGGTTAGCTGAACTCTAATTTTGTAAACCAGTTGTCCATGTGTCATCAGACTGGAATGTTTTTCATGATTTTGTTGCACGCCTGGAAGAGGGTGTCGTTGCCATCAAAATGGCTGAAAACAGATAACAGCGTGATTTAGTTCCAGCGTCAATTTATTCTTCTCTCCGATAAGATGGCGTCAGTGTGCGACGCTGGTGACGTCACATCTGCTGGTGATGTCACATCTACGCATTACCTGACAACCAGTTATGTATTCTGAACGAACGTCTGTTGGTTCGACTCATAAAAAATATGGGGGGTACCAAATTCAACATAATTTTAGCTTAAATTTACCAAAAATATATATGTCAATGCTAAAGGGCTAACACTTTCGAATCCTGGTTTGCCAGAGCCCAAGTTGGCTTTTTCCACTCGGGCTACATCTTCCCGAGGTTAGGGACTCGACTGGCTGATTTTAACAAGACAAGTTTCCACCCTTCCGAACTACTGAGTTAATTCCAGCTGTCTTTTGCTAGCCTGTTTAGCCTGTTTAGTCAAGTCAACAATTCGTAACTAAATTGACTTCCGGTTCGTAAACAAATTGGTGACATATGTGCAGATTTCGGTCGATTTGAGAACTTTGAGGGCACGTGTAACTGGGAGTCGATAGATATTCAGAAGATGTTTTGGTGTAACCACACAGTTTTAACCAAGATGCCAAAGTGTTGATGATGTTGGAACAGTTGTATTGCAATATAAATCTTATTGTCGATTAGATCGTCTTCGCTTGACATCACCACTTTGTTTGAAGCAATTGCAAGTTTTTTTATTCAAACATATTTATTCAAGAGAATGGATTGGGTACAAGTTATGCCAACATAGTGAAACCCTCTCCTATTTACAATGATTACATGCAAAAGTGAAACAAACTATATGTACAGGGATAGAAACATATATACAAAAGGATATATACAATACAATTAATACATGAATTATTTAGATCATAAACATTATATCCAATTACTGAACCTTTTGCAGTTTGATATATATTTTTGAACTTCTTTAAAAATTTGAACGAAGAATTTGAATTTGCAATTGCAAGTGACAAGCGAGGTGCAATCTGATTGGTCAATAGGAGTGACATTAAAGGTTGGTTGGTTGATTTGTTGTTTGACGATACACTGAGTCTGGTTTCCTGGGTCTGTCGCGCCTGCGCTAACGGAGCGTTAGCGCAGGCGCATCAGACCCAGGGAACCAGGCTGACGATACACTCAGCAATGCATTCGTAACCACTCGTGTCTTTCCGGCAAGCCGGATGGCGTCTCGTACCCCTCTCGTGGCCACAGACACGAAGATGAAAATAGTCTAGTACTATTTCCAAGGAAAGATAACTATGAATTTCCAAACATGGATACTCCTAGAATATCCCATATCCCTTGGGCAAAACAGCTATACAGTCATTCCCTTCGTAAAGATGTTTCAGTGTTGAAAGTTGCTGATCCTTTAGCTCAAAGTTTATGTTCAAATTGTGCTTTGCATAGTTAACAGAAGTTTCCAAGTTCGACGGTGCCGCCATTTTCATGCTTCGAAATGCGTTTTGCTACGCGCTATTTGATTGGTTTGTCACGATTCTTGGCAATAATGGCGTACTATACAGGTACGAGTCTTCTTGTAGGTCACGGAAGGAGGCAAGTAGTTACGACTGTCAGCAATGTTCCAGCTCTATGGTCATGTAGCGATCATGATGCGCTGTACACATAATACAAAACCCTGCGCCAAGACTTACACCCCTCTCATCTACATCGCATCTTCCAACCTCAACACATGCAAAGTTAGGTGGGAATCAAGAAAAGCAACCACTTCAAACAATGGATAATACACAAAAGAGGTCACGCCTTCAACTATCAAGCTGATTTCCGATTATTCATGCCGAATTGTTGACATATTGGTAACATGTGTTATAGGTGTGATTACTATATTTCAGTATATTACATATTCTAATACTTTAAGGGTTGGGTCCCATCTGGGATTCGAACCCACATTCTCAAGGCAACTAAACACCAGTACACCAGTACACAAAGTACAAGAATCTGTATTGAGAAAGTGTCCTCCCAAATATAACATATGTTAATTTGACCACTTTCACTTGAAAAGTTTCATTGTGTCTTCGGAACAGATCATTTGGTAAAAAAATGCCAAAAATATACATTAAACATAAACACTTACAGGTGACACAAACCCAGTTCGCCATAATATTATTATTGACACGGCATGTTAATTTGTTAAGTTGTCCGACACACATTTGCCTCCGGACAAGTGGCCCAGTACCGTTTGAAGCAGTCGTAAAATACAATATAGTGAACCGAACCGACCTCTCTGCAATGATCTTAGCTCTCTAACAACGGTCTGTAAATGATCTTAGCTCTCTAACAACGGTCTGTAAATGATCTTAGCTCTCTAACAAAGGTCTGTAAATAGTCGTCAGTGCTAGGATTCACTCATCACGTTGGTACAAACTGTCCCCTGATATTTACTCACCCACTTATTCTTTTACCCACTCCTCGTGTTTGTTTGTCTGTCTGTCTGTTTGTTTGTCTGTGTGTCTGTTTGTTTGTCTGTCAGTTTGTTTGTCAGTTTGTTTGTTTGTCTGTTTGTCTGTTTGTCTGTGTCTGTCTGTTTGTCTGTCTGTCTGTTTGTCTGTCTGTCTGTCTGTTTGTTTGTTGCATGTTGTTGCACTCAACTATATTTAAGAGATATGACGACGTCTGTAAACAATCAAGTCAGGACCAAACAATCCTGTGATTGACATCATGAACATCGATCTAAACAATTCGGATACAATAAAATGCCAACCAAGTCAGCGAACCTGACCACGACAAGCACGTGTTGCTGAAGACCAGTCCTAACCCGGATCTTCACAGGTCCACGCTTAACCAGGCAGCATATTCACCATCACGTCATTTGTGTATACTGACATCCTATCCGTAGGTCAGTCACATCACCTTCAGTGAATGAGTGAATATTGCTTAAAGCGGCATCAGTGTATTGCAGCTGTTCACGGCTAAAACGTCAGTTATAGCAATAATCACTGGTCAACCAAATTTCTCCATGAGGTAATTCAGTCATGGTCGTTTATTAATTAAACAAATTTGCACAGACCAATTTGTAGCATTCAGCTAGAAGGAGCCTGTCCGATGTTTTACACGACACTGCATGCGCTACTTAAGGGCTTAAACATAATTTGATTTCATCGGCTTCCGCCTAACATTAAAATATGCCGCTTCACATTACTCTGTTGCCTCCTTGGTTCTATAAATGTAGCTTATATGTGTGTTCCTACTTTCTATATTTGATCCACGAACCTTAATAGTTAGATTAGAAACATTAAACTGTAAATATATAATGACACTCATATTTTGAACACCTTTTTAAGAATATGCATGAATATGAATTAAGCATCACACAATATTTACATATAATACGAAAAAATAACTTGTGGTTATATATGCTGTGGAAAACAAATTCCACATATAAGAATGGTAAAGGTAACATGTTTCACTCTGATTGAAACATAAACAAAAAATAGGAATTGAATTTGGGAGCAATTTACTTGCACTCATCGATCGATCGATTTTACTGTTTCTAAAGTTGAGTGTAATCAGTTTCTGTGCATTGCGTGATTCCAGCATGGGATTTAAGCCAGTACCACACCACACTTCTAAAACTGCACCACTGCATGTCTGGAAAGATGCTTTAATCAGCGATCCAGCTATCGTGTTATAGTGGAGGTCATATTGAACCACATTTACCACCTCGATAAACCCGCCTGTCGTAAATCTATGGTTCAGTATATGAGGTAGCGCTACGATAAAAAACAGTCGTAGCCCTACGATAGCTTTGTGAAACGGAGCCCAGCAAGACACACGTAAACCTGCTGTGACGCTGTAGTGTGTGAACAATGACATTATGTATCAGTTGGTCTGACGTTTTGATTATGATCAGTGTTTCATTGAGTATTTTATGTTTATTAGTTTTCGAGTTAGATTGCAATTCATCGGTCCGCTTTTGAGCCAAACGGACTATACAATTGATTTATAAATATCCTGTCAGGTGGCCGGGGACCAACTCTGAATTTATTTAGGGTTGTAGCCAACTTGTGGGGTTGGGGATTTTTACGTTTTTGCCTCTTTATATGCAAAAACATATTGAAATAATTTTTACAGTGTTTCATATGCGTATATTACTATCGCGTATGCGTTTCTATTTTAGGAGTATATAGTTAAATCGAAACCCGATCCTTCAGCATAACCAGTTTAGATGCTGTCGGCCAGTACAGGTGTCGATATCAGCTCACAACAAACATGGCGGCTGTACGACTGTCGTTTTCCAAGTACCACGGGCTGGGCAATGACTTCGTGCTTCTAGACAACACCCAAGGGTCCGTCACACTCTCTCCCATCCAGCGACGTTCCATGTGTGACCGAAGGTACGGGGTGGGGGCGGACGGTCTGATCATACTGGGATACAGCAAGGACCACGCCTTTGACCTTCACTATTTCAACAGTGACGGTGAGGTGGGGTCACTGTGTGGTAACGGCTCACGGTGTGGACTGGGCTTCGCTCGCAGAAAGGGACTGATTGGCGATATACGGATCACGTTTAATGCTTACGACGGTGTCCACTACGGTCAGTATTTGCCAGTGGATGATAAGTATTGTGTCAGCATGAAAGATCGGAGATTTGACGACATCGAGGAACTGGATAGAGAAAACTACTTCCTGGATACAGGGTCCCCTCATCATGTGCGTTTTGTTGATTCTTTGGATAAATGTGACGTCATGAAAGAGGGGAGACAACTGCGGTATGGAAAATATGGTGATGTGAATGGAGCCAATGTAAATTTTGTTGAAATAAAGGAGGGAGCTGTTTGTGTAAGAACATACGAGAGGGGCGTGGAGGATGAAACCGAGGCTTGTGGGACTGGGGCTACTGCAGTTGCCTTGGTAATGGCCCTACGTCACATCCGGTCACAAGATGGTTGCCGTGATCAGCATCTTAAATCGTCTTGTGATATCACGATGGGTCGGGGAATATTGACAATAAAGTACGACATCTGCAGAGACGTTTTCACCAACATCATGTTGATAGGTGAAGCTGTTCATGTATTTGATGGTGTGTTTTATTTACCCTAAGGCAAGAAACAATATAAATCTCACGTGAATATAACATCGTAATATACTAATACATGTAATTATCTCGTCATAGGTTCACCTGTGAGCAATAAAAAAATCGGAAAACAATGAAGAAAAATCTTGTTTATATCCATTATACTCATCAATACTATTGTGTATAAGATAGATAAGATACTTTGTGGATGACGAACTCGTCATGGTATTATGATGTGACGTGCTGGTGTAGATTCTTACACCATTGTTAAGATTCTGAACTTTCTTGTTGCTCACTAAAATATCAATCAAACACTATTACGTATCCATTTTACTACCAGGTAGGGTGTGTGAGTGCATTATGTTGTATACCGTAGGAGGCAGTATGAAATCTATAGCAAGCTTTAGTGCCGATCGATTTTACTGTTTCTAAAGTTGAGGGGAATCAGTTTCTGTGCATTGCGTGATTCCAGCATGGGATTTTAAGCTAGTACCACACCACACTTCTAAAACTGCACCACTGCATGTCTAGAAAGATGCTTTAATCAGCGATCCAGCTATCGTGTTATGGTGGAGGTCATATTGAACCACACTTACCACCTCGATAAACCCGCCTGTCGTAAATCTATGGTTCAGTATATGAGGTAGCGCTACGATAAAAAACAGTCGTAGCCCTACGATAGCTTTGTGAAACGGAGCCCAGCAAGACACACGTACAACTGATTAAACCTGCTGTGACGCTGTAGTGTGTTAAAAGTAACCATATATATAAATATTTATTGCCGTATTTATTAACATGACTTATGCTTGACGTGACCACAGGCATTTCAAGCGGGTGACTTTTTGCGTGGAACTAGGGTTGGTCTTATTGGCTTCCTGTACTCGGCAAAGGATCTGGTTGAGCTTGTCGGTTTTGTATTGCCGCTTTATGCCCGGACTATGCACACATATACAGATAATAGCTGTTGAGGGATTTTCACGTTTCAACAACCCGCAAAGACGTTTCACCTGAACGGTCCCAGGATCATATAATAAAAAAGGTTAACCCGTGCACATGGCCCATGAAGCACATGAGAGATAACTGAACAAAAACCACGGTCGTCTATTTTCAGATACATCCTAAACGGGGGCTCTCACCATGCGGATACCATTTTCCAAATACCACGGCCTTGGCAATGACTTCGTTATCATAGACAACACCCGAGGGTCAGTCTCCCTGTCCCTCACCCAGCGGCGTCTCATGTGTAGCCGGCGGTACGGGGTGGGGGCGGACGGACTGATCATGGTGGAATCCAGCAAGGAGCACTCCTTTGCCCTCACCTTTTACGACAATGATGGTACAGCTGGTGCTCTGTGTGGGAACGGATGTCGCTGTACCTTGGCGTTTGCCCAGAGTCTTGGACTAGTGGAAGATAAGACGTTTACGTTTGAAGCCTACGACGGAGTCCATACCGGTCGGGTCGTCTCGAAACGCAAGTGTGTCCTCGGATTTAAGGATCGACGGTTTGAGGACATAAAGAAACTGGATAACGACAACTTCTTTGTTGATACGGGGGCTCCTCATCACGTCCGCTACGTTGATTCTATAACCGGATATGACGTCGTTGGCGAAGGGAGACAACTTCGATATGGCAAATATGAAGGCATAGGGGGAGCTAATGTCACGTTTGTGGATAAAAGCACAGATGGTAAGATGGTGTGTAGAATGTATGATCGGCGGATAGACGAGGAGGTTCCATCGTGTGGCACAGTTTCCGTAGCTATTGCGTTAATTGCGCAGTTACATCGCGTTACCCCTCAAGGTCACGTCGACAACATAGGTCAAAGGTTGTATGAAACCTACATGGAAGGCGGGCCTCTGACGGTGACTTTTGATGTCGATGAAGACATCTTCACTAACATTGAACTGACAGGAGACGTGGAACACGTCTTTGATGGGACTTACTATTTCTGAAGCGTTAGACGCTTTCTCCAGTGTCCTTTATAGTTTAAGTCCGTATATCGCGAATAACAATGATGTCGGATAAAATGAAAATTAAAATCAACTGCAATGGATAAAGATGTAGCGAATAGTGGGTTTTAATGAACGCGGATATACGACACAGTCGGCTGTAATGATCGAATCAAGTGAATAGATGACTGTAACGAACTTGGATATACCACACAGTCGGTTGTAATGATCCGATCAAGTGAATAGATGACTGCAACGAACTTGGACATACCACACATTGGATTGTAATGATCGGATCAAGTGAATAGATGACTGTAACGAACGCGGATATACCACACAGTCGGCTGTAATGATCGGATCAAGTGAATAGATGACTGCAACGAACTTGGATATACCACACATTGGGTTGTAATGATCGGATCAAGTGAATAGATGACTGTAACGAACTTGGATATACCACACAGTGGGTTGTAATGATCGGATCAAGTGAATAGATGACTGTAACGAACTTGGATATACCACACAGTGGGTTGTAATGAACTCGGATCAAGTGAATAGATGACTGCAACGAACTTGGACACATTGGGTTGTAATGAACTCGGATCAAGTGAATAGATGACTGCAACGAACTTGGATATGGGTTGTAATGATCGGATCAAGTGAATAGATGACTGTAACGAACTTGGATATACCACACAGTGGGTTGTAATGATCGGATCAAGTGAATAGATGACTGTAACGAACTTGGATATACCACACAGTCAGTTGTAAGGAATTCGGGATTACGTGAATAAATGACTCTAATGAACTGATATAAGGGGTCAGTTAGAGATGGATCTATTAATCTAATATTATACTTAATCTAATATATATATTTTCTTTAACGTAGAGCACATTGTGTGTTATCTTTCCAAATGAATGCATACTCTGTATGACCTGGTAGATACTGTCATTCATAAAGCTTCCACGTGTTATAACATGTTCAGTATTTTATCCAAGAATGATAATAAAAACAGGATGTAGTTTTGTGGGTTAGTTAATGTCTGTATTCAAAGGCGGACGTCATATAACGTAATCGCGCCTGAGAACGTATGTTTGCATTTTTACCATTTTCATTTTCCGCCATCTTGGATCGAACACGAGGCTTGTTGTGTCTAGGTTCATGTGGAGTGATTTGTAAGCTGATCGAAAACAGAGAGCATGTTGTGACTTTCCTTATTTAACTGTGACACCTCAGCCCCAAAGTTGTATCCAATGTGTCGAATACAGAGGATATAGGATATCTATGGCTGTGGTCCTTCGGAAATGTTTGAGCAACCCGGAAGTGAGCCGAATAGTGTTTTAAAGATACAATATCCCGAAATAGATTGAATAGTTACCACCAATGTCATGATAAAACACTGAGACAGTGTATTCAGCGATAGAATGTATACATGATGCATGTAAATCATCTGCATATCCCTCAATACTATCATGTATTGTGGTAATTCGATCAGGATCGAGGCTCGGTCAGCTGCCCTGTATGGTGGAGCGTTCTGCTGTCATCGTCAATCAGATTTAGTATTTCACAACGTTGTTTCAAAAGTGATCATTCGCAAGGCCTCGGTAATTTCGCATGCTTCATTATGAACTAAACTTGTTCCCCTGCGCGATGCAACAAACGTATTTTCTGTCCCAAACTATTCCAACCGGAAGGCGGACGACAATAGTCTCCATCGCCCTCGTGTATCGATATACAAGGCTGATAAACGTCAGGTTTTACAGACGAAAACAAGTCCCTGGAGATTTAACAGGTTATCAGCAGAAAGAAGGAGATAATTCCGTTGCGATCTTTGCCGCTAGGGATTTTACGAGAACCAGAAATATGGTTGGATGAGAACAGAGTAGGAAGATATGACAGAAAATAAAATGTTACTTTGAAAGCAAAAATGTTAAGAGAGATAATTTTAGATGTTCCTAAACACCTTTTCACAATATCACAGACACGTTGTACTTGTTTTCACCTTATGCAAATCAGCAGAAAATGTTTTAAAAGACTGAAATCATAGGAATGATTCTTTTAAATTTTACACACTCTACAACAGTTGTTTCTTGTTTCAAAAGTTGAAAAATGGTGACTTTAAATGGTTTATCTTTGTCTCAAACCAGAATTGTATTTCAACCTTTCTTTTGGACAACTGAATCACTGTTATTGGTTTATTTCGGCATGGTCGAAAATAGGACAATTTAACTCTTCTGAAAAAGATGCATTTCACCTAAACATGAATGCATTTGAGAACTTGTTTTCGTGATATGCATAAAGCTGTGTTGTTAAGCTTTCTTGTAAACTAATACCTTCTAACATATCTTTGATATCTTTTAAGTAATTTACAAAGGAAAGAGGGAAACGTTTCTTTTGGCGTACATATATAGATGATTCGAGGAGGATATATATGTACATTCATACTGTAGATGTAGTTAATTAGGACGGTTGCTGGTTGTTGTGTGGAAGTTTGGCTAGTATGTGTCCACAGTCTTATACAGACGTATTTAAACCATATGTTTTTCAGGTGACCAAACGACTTGCCTTTGCGTGTGTTTGTATCGGGCGCCTGCGTTGGGGTAGGATACGCTGACCTTTAGTGGAGATTTCTTATAATTATGTTTTTGGATATAAAATACACTGGTGAAACTCATGAATACCGGCATCGTGATGTCAAACTGGGATCATAAATGTTGGAGTCGAAATAGGACCCCAAGGGAAGCAACTCTGCACAGCAAACTGCAAGTGGTTCATCCTCACTTGGTCTGAGACCGACACGGAGTGTGATTTCAGTGGTGTCATTTCCGTCACTCTGTAATAAACATGCACGCAGTATACGTGCTGTACATTTCACGCCTGTCTGTCAACAGCCTTGATGGAAAGTAATGATATATACTATGTATCTGTCGTTCAATGGTGCACCCTGTCGTTCAAACACAATATGTTTGTGAGGATATGCGTAGACAGGCAGGGGGCGACTGGTGGGGACAGGGAGCGACGGTTGCAGATGAACAGGAGCGACAGATGAACTTATTGAAACAAAAACAACCTAGAATGATCCACATATATATACTATCCCAAAAAGAAACGCATAGGCCAGAAATCTGTTGCGAAAATGTTGTATTTTCAAACATGTATAACTCGTCCACAAATAGACTTTAGTGCATGATTTTTTACATTAGTTTGAGAAGGAAATGTCTATACAACCAAGTGGATAATTTTAGATAACGGAGACGTTGAGCGCGATGGTGACGACGTAGCACGGCCCCGATGTAGGGCCTCCTGGCTTTCAGTCCAATCTCTCTCAACCTGTTCCGTACAGTTTGACCGGAAATCCTCCGAAGTCCAGGCACCCTGGCTGCTGTGCTCTCACCCGTGGCAGTACGATCACGCAAACGTAGTACCCACATGTACCGATCTGTGGCTACAGTGGTGACTCGAGGTCTGCCTGTATGGGGACGGTCATTTGTTATACCTGTTTGGTTGTAACGAGCTGCAAGTCGTGATATCGTGCTCAGACTAACATTCAGACGTCTGGCAACAAACGATTGGTAATCTCCAGCGTGTTTTCTGTCAATGGCGATGTTCCGTGTCGCAGCGTCAAGACGTGGCGTAGTGATTTGACCTTGAAACTCCTTCAAAACGAATGCCGATTTCCGAAAGTAATCTGGATTTTTATAGCAAGACAGTGTATGCTCTTTGCTGCACTATTTGAACTGGAAGGTGATTTTTGTTGCGTTGTGGCGATGCATTTTTAATCCTTGTAAGAAATCTCACCAAAATCAACATTTTCAGGTAAAGTCGAATTTTTACTTGTGCAATTGTGTAAAATCATGTTATCAACACTTTCGTTACATATTTTGACGATTGTTTGAACACAATAGGTAATTAATAGATATTTCAAAATACAAAATGCCTATGCGTTTCTTTTTGGGATAGTATATATTATTTAGCAGTTTACGAAGAAAATATCAATTAACTAAATAGTATTTCATTGACCGAATATGAAGTGTTTTTAAAGGTGATGATATATGTCAAACCCAAGCTTGTGTTAAATGTTAAAAAATATTTTGTCCAAACTTTGAAAAATATCTTAATTTCCATAACCTACATGTACAATGTGAAGTACATAAGCTAAAATGATTTTTGTTATGAAATATGATTCAAATTTATTCATAGATGTGTAAGCTCAACGCTAAAACGTGTGAGGCTCGAGTAACTGATGAAAAACTGGCATAAATGACAAAATAGTGAAAATGAAAGTATCAGTGAAGGTCGCTGATGACAGGTGTTCGTAAATTGCATAAGCATGTTGTGTTCTACCGGTAGCCCTCGCCACTGGCATCAGTATGTCGCGTGGAGTACATGTCTGCTTTTGCAGGACTCTGCACATCTGTACAAGTCAGTGATAGTGGACCAGACAATTCAGTGATAGTGGACCAGACAATTCAGTGATAGTGGACCAGACAATTCAGTGATAGTGGACCAGACAATTTACTGATAGTGGACCAGACAATTCAGTGATAGTGGACCAGACAATTCACTGATAGTGGACCAGACAATTCAGTGATAGTGGACCAGACAATTCAGTGATAGTGGACCAGACAATTTACTGATAGTGGACCAGACAATTCAGTGATAGTGGACCAGACAATTCACTGATAGTGGACCAGACAATTCAGTAATAGTGGACCAGACAATTCAGTGATAGTGGACCAGACAATTCAGTGATAGTGGACCAGACAATTCAGTGATAGTGGACCAGACAATTCAGTGATAGTGGACCAGACAATTCAACGATAGAGGATCAGACAATTAAGAAAACAGCTTTAAAATTCTATTCTGACACAGTTTTTGATGATACTGTGTTCAGTTATTCAATCACAGGTTCAAATTCGTTCAAATGAGTGAGAGAAGGTCTTATATTGATCAACATTTTATGCGTTTAAACTTAAGTTTGTTTAATGAACATAGATAAAAA